TGTACAGTCTTCTTTTGTTTTCTTTGGGAGGGGAGAGTTTTGCTAGGCAATGAATGGGGTTAAGTGACTTGCCCAGGGTCATACAGCTAGTAAGTGTCAAGTGTCTGAGGCCAGATTTGAACTCGAGTCCTCCTGACTCCAGGGCTAGTGCTCTATCCATTATGCCACCTAGCTGCCCCACTGTACGGTTTTCTGATTGTCTCTTCTGGTTCCCCTGCTACCTGTCTGACCATCTCATCCTCAGAATCATAGTGTGTTTCCTGCCTCACCCCTTCCTACCTGTGGAAGTCCACTAAGGCTGTGTCCTAGAGGACACTCTTCTGTCTCCTGTGGAAAGCCTTTCCTGAATTCCTTACCTGCTAGTTCTCTATGTCTTCCTCCTCAAATAATACAGGGTGTCCCAAAAGTCTTAGTGCAGTTTCAACCTCATTAAAGCTTCGCTTTGAATTTTGTTTCAAGTTGATTTTATCTCCATTTTACAGATGAGGAAACTGAGGGGTTAAGTGACTTGCCCAGGGTTACACAGCTAGTAAATATCTGAGGCTAGATTTGATCTCAGGTCTTTCCTGACTCCAGGCCTGGTGCTCTATCCACTGCACTCCCTGGCTGAATTTCTTTACATCACAGAGGCTTAAAGTGGGACGGTAGGCAGACTTTTTTTTTTTAATTTGAGCTCCAAACTGCACTAAGACTTTTGGGACACCCTGTATATTATATTAATTTATTTGTGTAAACGTATTCTTTGGTAGAATGAAAGTTCCTTGAAGGCTAGGACTGGTTTCCATCTTGTTTTTGTATGTCCAGGACCTAGCACAGTGCCTTCTACATTGGAGGAGCTCTGTGTATTTGTTGAATTGAATTGAAGGGTAGGTTGATATTATATTGTAAAGGACTTTGAATGCCAGTTTGAGAAACTGGAAGTATTATTTAGTAATGAGGAAATATTAGTGATCTGGAGCAGGGGAGTAGCATGATCAGAACTAGGCATTAGGAAGATTGCCATGATTAAATTTTATTTATTTTCAAATGAATATGCTTCTCTTTCCTACCTCCCAAGCCCTCCATTGAGAAAGCAAGAAAAATAAAACTCCTGTTGCAAACATGTATAGTCAAGCAAAATGGATTCTCTCATTGGCCACGTCCCCCCAAAATATGTCTCGATATGCTCTGTGAGCCCATCACCCCCCCAATCAGGAGGAGAGCAGCAGAGAATCCCCTCTGGCATTGGGATTGATCATTGTGTTGATTAGAGTTCCTAAGTGTTTCAACGTTGTTTGTCTGGGTGGTCTTGTTACTATATAAATTATTCTAGGAAGATTATTTGAGCAGTGCTGTAAGACATGGATTGGAGAGCAGGGAAATTAGCTGTTGCAAAAGTCTAGGTGAGAAATAATGAAAACCTGAACCAGGGTGCTTGTTGGCTGAATGACTCCTGCCGGCGTTTCTTCCAGGGTGAGGTTTCCCTAGAGGTCATTGGACATATGCCTGGTGACTTGTGTGGGGAACCTATGCTTTTGTGCATTTTTCAGGAGGGGAGGCACCCAGCAGTAGCTTAAACCACGCAGACATCTACCTACCCTTCCCTCCTTAAGCCTCTGGAATGTAAAGGAATTCAGCCGGGGGTGCTGTGGATAGAGCACCAGGCCTAGAGTCAGGAAGACGTGAGTTCAAATCTAGCCTTAGACATTTATTAGCTGTGTATGATCCTGAGCAAGTCACTTAACCCCTGTTTGCATCAGTTTCCTCATCTGTAAAATGGGGATAATAATTGCACCTACCTACCTCCCAGGATTGCTGTGATGCTTAAACGAGATAATATTTGTCAAGTGCTTAGTGCAGTGACTGGCACGTAAGTAAATACTATATGGATGTTAGCTGCTGCTGTTGTTATTGTGTCTAGAGCTGAATTAGGAGTCAGGTGTCTTCCTGTATGACTTTTGTCACGTCACCAACCTCTCGAGATTTAGTTTTTAGCTTTAAGTTGTGGAAGAACTGACTGGTCTTGGAGAAACTTTCCTAGAGATCTTTAGGAATAGGGGAATGAGGAGGAGAGAAGAGGCCTGCTTCTTGCATTGGGCCATCCAGAATGTGTTAAACAAGTGGTGTGGGGTATAGAGTGTAGAAGATAGAGGCAGGAGACCTGAGTTCACATCCCAGCTCTGCCCATTGTGACCGGTGTCACTTAGAGCAAGTCATCTGGGGGGCAGCAGTTTGTTTACCCGAAGTTGAGGTGGAGGGTGGTTGGACCAGGTCCCCTCTAAAGGCTTCCTTCAGGCTCTACATTTCTGAGCCCATTCTGCCCAGTGGCAAACCCTCTTGCAGGTTCTTCCCAGGATGCTTTATAGAAGTTGGCAAGCCTTCCTCTTCTGGCATAATCCACCACTAGGTTGTTTTCCCTCAGCCTCCCCTGACACCCAATCAAAAGGAGAAAACACAGGCTGTGGCCGACCTTGACCTTGCTGTGTGCAGTAGCCAAGGCCTCTGCTGTTATGCAAAAGCAGTAGGAAAATACCCAGGCTCCAATTCCCAGCAGGGAGGAGCCCTCGGTGCCCAGCCCCCACCCCCTCTCACTCTGTTCGTGGAGGAGGAGGAGCAGCGGCGGCAGCCGGGAAGCTTTCTCCTCCACCCCAGCTCCATCCCAACAGGAAAGTAGCCAGAGCTCCTTTGGCATTTCCTCCTCCCCCAACCGGACAGAGGAGAGAGCCCCCGTTTGGGTTCCTTTCCTGTGCAGGGGAGGCAAGGAGCTCGTTCTGGACACAGGCTTCGCTTAAATCAACCCCAGGAGGTGGAGGGAAAGGGGACGTGGCTGTCTGCAGCTGCTGCCACCACCAAAACGACTCTGCCTTGTGATTACGTATCTGTTAAGGGTGGATAGGTAGAAAGATAGATAGGCAGATGGATAGATAAATAGATACAAGGCTGGATGGATACATACATGGAT